AACTAGCCACTCAAATAGCTAAATCATTTGGATCCATGTCTTTAACTTTGGGCTTTCTGGAAGCAAGTTTCTAAAAATAATGGATTAAATTGTATCAATAAATTATAATGGGTAACTATAATCTAATACTAACTGTTACATAAGCAAAGATGTATTAAAGGCAACAGATATCTAACTCATTTGATTGATTTATACAATTTCTCAATGGAGAGTTTAAAACATATACGGGTGTCTACTAAATTGCCCTACATCCCATAGTTAATAAGCGGTATAGCTGGGATGTGAAATCAGAATTTTCAAAGCCAGTACTATGCTGTAATAAGACATCAGAAGAAAATTTCTTTAATATTTAAAAAAATGCCCCAATATACTTTACTGAAATATACATTATCTTTATTTAGAATAGTAATGATTTGGGGAAATTCATTTTACCCAACATCCCAAGAAAAGTGACTAAATAATCAGGTGGTGAATATAAACATAAAGTAATCTTACTATGCTTAACCCATAAGAATCTTGAAAATATAATGTGTAAATTACTATAAATCAATAGTATTGTCATTACATTCCAGTATTTGTAATTACTCAAAATATAAACTACTGATGATAGATACTATGCTTTGTTTACTGCTTTATCTCCAGTTCCAGAGAACAATGTATATAGTAGGTACTCAATAGAAATTGTTGAATAAAGAATGAACAGCAGCTAGGCATAGTGGCACATGCTTGTAATCCCAGTGGCTTGGGAGACTGAGACAAGAGGATCTCAAGTTCCAAGCCAGCCTCAGCAAAAGTGAGGCACTAAAGCAACTCAGTGAGATCCTGTCTCTAAATAAAATACAAAGTAGGGCTGGGGGATGTGGCTCAATGGTTGAGTGCTGCTGAGTTCAATCATCTTTAGTTACACCCCCCACCAACCCTGCAAAAAAGAAAAAAAAAATGAACAATGAAAGAATGAATTTTCAAAATTATACAGAAGCTCTTAAAGTTCAGCTAATGTAGTAGGCATTATAAACAACTATAAAAATGCCTACTACTTTGCCTACAAAATTTAATGTAAAAAAATCTAAGTAGTACATATTGTAAGAATGATATGCAAAATCATATAAACCATTAAGCTAAATTTTCACAAGAGAAAGTTCTTTCTCACAATAATACAATATAAGGTTAAAATATAATAAATAATGAAATACTCAAAATTTATAATTAAATCTCACTGCAGAGATTCCCATACATCAAATTTGATCACAGAGAAACCTGGAAGCAGCCTGGGCAGACATTTTTTATTTTTATTTTTTGCTATCCAGGTGAGAAATAGACAGTTAAAAGAAAGATAATTTGCTTAACTGTTGCTACAGGTGGATTGTATTTATGAATGAATGTATTATTGTTATGTATCATTGTTATCCAGTACTATTTTGGTTCTGTGCTCTTGAATGACATCACCTTCCTTTATGCTTTGGATGAAGTGCTATGAGAGGAGGATTGAATAGAGCCAAAACAAAGATTCCTCCCTGTCTGGTTGACTGTCTATCTCCCTTTCTCTTCTATTTCAATTTTTCTACTATAAACATCATTCTAATGAGCTATATCAAAATAGAATTTTAGACTATGTAGAGAAATTGGGTGAATAATTATGCATACAAAATTTAATTACAGTATAGCTGGAAAAAAAGTTTAAATTTGGAGAAGAGGCTTCTTGGGCAGTTCTGAGACTCTCATTTTTTATACAAATACTTTCAGTCAATATGGAAGATAGAAAAAAATGGTGGTTAATTAGGCCAGAATATTTTTCAGTTCTGCCACTAGATATGACGAGCTTGGGTAAATGACTTGACCTATATGACCCTCTGTAAATGAGAATATTAGAGGAGGTAATCTCTATAAAATGAGAATATTCAACTGTACGACTTCTAAATTTTCTCCTAGCTCTATGCTACT